TGCAAATGAAGGTTCCTCCCTGAGAGGCGGGCTGTGAGCAGCTGTGTGTGAACACATGACACATTGAAAGCCCATGTCAGAACAAGTTGAGTCACATCATCAAAGCAGCAGTGCTAGATGATGTCCATTCTTTTGCTGCGTGTAGAACAAGACATGTATGGAAACACATCGAGCACTGCATGTAACGATAAAGGAAGTGGCTTGGAAATAATAAAACTGAGAGAAGTGTCCCATATGCATGGGATATGTAGGTGTATTATTTGGATCGAGATGCTCATGTGTAGGTTTCACTCATCAGTTTACGCTTTCCACTTAAGGCAGTGCATGTGCAGATAGGTGTGAAACATGCTGTTGCAGCGAGGAAAAAAAACAACCTCGTAAAAGCTAGGAGGAACACAAAGCGGTGACTGCACTACGGATTCAGGAGGATCGGATGGATGCATCTTCATTTCTTAAAATACATTTTTCACAGAGTTCTGCATCTTTGTGCAATGAAAGGATATTAATATGTGGTTTTAAAAATTTACATTTGAATAAACCTATAAAAAAAAGTGTTGAAAATTTGTTTTCAGGCTTACAGAATAAAATTCCTTTTATTTTTTAAGTCTTTTTATTAGTAAATGACTTCCTGTAATAATCTAGAAAGGTGTATTAGAGAACAAAGTAGTTCAAGAAACACAGCACACCCGTCAGTGAATTTTGAAAATGTCCTTGAGCTCCATTTGATCCATCATCTTCAAATAGAATGAGGACAGTACCCCTGCAGGGCCAACGAGACATGGGCGTTAACTTATAAACTGGCCAAACCAAAATCACCTAAAATGATCTTCAAAAGTCTAAAATTAATCAATGAGGCTGCAAATTTGTAGGTAAAACGTGCCTCTTGGGGAGGAGACCAGTTAACAGCTTAATCTAAACGGATGGAGATGGCCAAGAGTGTGCAGGTGGGGCAGAAATCCGAGTAATGACCGATGGAACATTTGTTAGTGCTCCACAAAACCACATAATGAGTTCTGATTGCTGTTTTCGTCATCTATGTAGGGACCAGCACACATATGAAAGCAGAAGCGGTTCTAGAGCAAAGTCACAGTAGGCAGTCATGGAGGCAAAGAATAAAAATAAAAAAAACCTTGTCAACACTGCCTGAAACCCTGATGGTGGCAGGATCATGCTGTGAGGAATGCTTTCCTCAGCAGTTGACAAGGATGCTGTTCAGTGAAGAAAGCAGGTTGGTTGAAGCAAAATAAAGGATTACTCTCTCTGAAGGTGTAAATACAACTGCACTCAAATGGCACATGTGTATGTAGGACTTATCAGGAAGTGTCTGCTTTGTTATCGACTGGCATGTCGGACATAACAGCAAAACAAATTAATTAAAGGTACAAAGTCATGTAATATGCATATAAAAAGACCAAAATACAGTTGAATTTTATGAAATCAGACAATATACTCTAAGCATCCATCCTTATATGTGTTTTTATCCTCCTTCCTGAGCCTAAATGGAAGCCCACCACCGGGCGTAAACAGACATGGCGCCATCTACCTGCAGTACCATAGCATGCCAGATGGTGGCCATTTCTTCAGCTACTATAAAATTCCATACCACAATATAATACCTGAGAAAACCCAGAAATCAGAGGATAGGGCTAGACATCTTTGCTAACACCAGTAGGATTGTTAGTTTAGGACATGTACTTATGTCTATCAACTTCATAGTGACATTAGAATGCATCCTGAGCTTTAGCTTCAACAGTCAGACTGTTTTCCCAGTGCAACTCAATTTCTATCCCCTCTAAAAAAAAAAAAAAAAAGTCTTCACCTTTTTAAATGTTATCCTGGACTTTTAGCTTTTTTTACTATGCTGGGAGTTCCATATTCACTCGCTTCCATTCCTTCAGTTTGTTGACCAATTATACGCATGCACAAGGATGTAATCCCAGTTTAACTTGTAATCCCAGATTATGTCGTTATGGTAAATATAGACAGAAAGGGTATATTTATTAACAAGCTGAGAAAAAACGCAGCTTAAAGGACAAAATGTAACAAATACCTCACCAGCAGGATGACATAATTTGTCATAAAAACGTTGTTAGGCAACAAGAGTTAGTTACTGGCGTATGATTTAAAATGTGTCAAATAAGGTGACTATATACCTTTGAGCTGTATAGTTACTTAAAAGGGAAAAAGCTGAGTTGCGTGTTATAGAAATGGGTTTAGAAATAGCAACAACTTGAGTAATTTGGACAGAAGAAATAACAGAATATGGTCCCTTATGTATGACCCTGGTGTCTTATTTTGTGAGCCTAATGGCTTAAGTGGGTAAAAACCACTGCAAAATTTGCCCTACCCCTTTTTCTTATTTTTTTTAAAGCTAAGTGCGTCAGGCATTTCGAGGTGTGAAAGGGTCACATGGCTTGTTTTGAGTTTGGCAGGATATCCTATACTCACTGCAGGTGCAAAAATGTGCTGAAAGGATGCACCGGTTATCTAAATAAACAATGTTTTTCTGCAGCTCATGAGTCATGGCTCCGTGACCCTTCTTCTCAAGAAGGTTAGTAAAGACCTGTCAAGTCCCGGTTTGGAAAAGATGAGCACAATTAAAGGGCAGCAGCACCTCTTTGTTGTCTGTTAAGGTAAGAATCACCCTCTCCTCCCTAAACGCTGCGTCTCCTGTAAGCCGAGTCAGCAGGAAGGAGACTGAGCAGGGATTCAGGGTGAGAAACGAGTAACTCTCCAGAGGAGCAGAGAGGTGCAAAAAAGAAGAAGGGGAGGGGAAAGGGGGCCCTGCTGTTGTTACCGAAACAACAATTAGTTTAAGCAAACAACGCTCTAAAAATTCCCAGTAAATCTTCAACAACTGAGATGCTTTACGCAGCTGGTTTATAATCATCTCTGGCTGCCAATGCATCATGTTACAGATACTAAATATATTTAAACTGGAACAAATAAAAAGCAGAATTCAGATACACATTTTTTGGGCCATCGTCCTCCACCAGCACGGCGAGCGGTCTTCTGTCGAACTGCTCTCTCCTGCAGCCTACTGTGCACTGTTCCCACAGCAACCACTCAAACATGCTGATGACAGGGATAACAACACAAGACAGACTGTTTATGTAAGCTAAATGACAATGTAAACATAAAGATTACAGATCTATAAACTGGATAAAAAGTAATTCTTGCATTGATGATTGGATTTTGGCTATAATACCGATCTATGCAATTCTGTATACTAAAATATCATTATCAGGACTTTATTCAGCACTAATCTATCATGACGTGCCTTTGTGCTAAACAGACCATAGATGATCACTACTTTTCAAGGTGCACTGTGGGAAATTTAGAGTCCATTACTTTTTCATCCAATAGACATTCGGACACGCATTCAAAATGGCATAACCACTATATAGTGCCCTATATAGTGATCAGGGTGGGGATTCGGACACAGCCATCGTTTTTTGTTTCTTCTGTTATCAGACTCTTCATTTTGTTTAAAACAGTTCAGAGGTCATCAACACCTCAGACAAAGTGATCATTGGAATAAGTCTGGTATGTTTAAGAAAAAAAAACTATGTGATAGGAGTACCGTAGTAAAAGAAATAGTAGAAGCAGATTTTTTTTCCCTCTTATTGCATAAAATCAAACTTGTAATTAACACATCCTTTTTCTTTGTTTTTCTACAGGCCCTAAAAACAGCAATTATCAAAACGGTGTCAGGAAAAAAACCAGCTTGGACAAGTTAGACCCATCTCAATCCCATTTTTATCAGTAAGATTATTTAAAAAAAAATGTGTGTTTAAACTACTAAATACATTCCTAACAATCACCAGCCATTTAGACAACTTCCAGTCAGATTCCTACGCTCACTGCAGTGCAGAGACAGCTCATATCAAGGTGTTCAGTGACCTCTGCATTAATACAGACTGTGGAAAAACCACAGTGCTGGTATTACTGGACTTGGGTGCAGAATTCAACATTGACATTCACTTAATTTTATTGGAAGGCAGGGAATTTTGGTCTTTGTGATACTGCACTTTACTTGTTTAACACCTGATTGAAGTATTTTTTGTCAGTAGGTAACTTTACATTGGACACTAGAAAATCACGTGGCGTTCCCCGAGTCCATTTAAAATTGGTCCTTGGGACCCACAGTAAGTATCAAATTATATAAATTTGATTTGCTCCTCAGCGGACACCAAGGGTAGCAAAGGCCTTTTAAAAACCATTAATTTAAATTAGGTGTGTGGAGGCAGGGAAACACCTAAGACCAAGGTCAGTGGTACTGGAGGAATATGTTTGAGAACTACTGGCTTAAACTCAATAAGGGAAGGTGTCATAAATATGCAGATGACACGCATCTATATATTAGAAACCCATCCAGGCACTGGGTAAATGGTTTGAGAAAAAAAAAAAAAAAAACTAAATTTAAGAGTAGATGGATGTTATTTTCCATTTGCTTTTACTTAAGTAATATTCTTGTACATTTTCTGGTTACTCCACCCATCATGAGTTACAGAGATAAAGTTAAATTACACTTGCACATAATAACAGCAGAAAACTTGCTTAGCCTTCCCTTTCCTAACATGAATGTTACCCAATTTAAAGATTAATAAAATTTATGTAAAAAAATGTTTCTTCTGGGCAAACACTTTTTATTAGTATTTCATTTTATATTTTGAAATACAAAAATTTTCACATCACAGTTTCTCTGAATATGTAATTTATAAACATTAAATCAAATATTCCGTAATTAAGAAGCCACTTTACATTGTAATTATTTACACTTACTAAAGTAATTTCTTGGATGACTACTTCCTAATTTCACTTGTGTAAAAAATGTGAAATAGTGGTACTCTTAGTCTACTCACCTCTAAAAGGTAAAAAAAAAAAAAAAAGGAATTCCTTGTAAAACGTAGAGGTGCCTTAGAATGAGCTGACAGCCATTCTCTAACCCAAAAACAGTAATGTGACAAATGCTAAACGTCAGTAAAACAGAGACAAAGAGGCAGACATTGAAATACATTTGTTTATTGTACTTATATTCAACTGAAATAATAGTCATTTTCTACCAAGCATTTGCTGGTTGTTGCTATCATCACAGTTTTTCTACCTGAGATTCAAGTGTAAAAGAAAAAAAAAGGGGAAAATGCTGAGAAAGCAAATTCTTCCAAGTTTTATTTTTCTGCTTTAAGTCAGAGAAAAATCTTCAGTCAAAAAGCGGCACAACTTTTAGAAAGGATGGAAATGGAATCGGGTTTATATAATTAAAGGCATTTCTGCTTCACATTCATAACAGATAAGTGTTTCTGTTTTCATTATACTTTTTAAAAACTTTTCTACAAGTCGGTTTCTCATCAGCGTGAATTTTTGCTTACAGAAAATACAATTGTTTTTTGATACAGATGTTTTTTTTGCTTTTAAGCTGTTATGTTTTCCAAGTTAAACAAGTTGCAAAGCCGCCAGAATTATGCAGCTTTTTTTTCAGTTAAGCTTATTTGGCACCGAATATTTGGTAAGTTTCCATGATGTTATGTCGCTAACATTTGAGGCGTTGTGATGTACATTTAGCTGTCACTGTTACTGCTTATCCAGTGACTATCGTCTCTACTGACATGTATAGTCAGGATCAGCTGCTGTTTTCTGCAAATATATGCTACCTCCTCCACATTCCTTTTCTGGCAGCGTCGGACGAGGTCGACCCACGGAGAGTGAGCGATGGTCAGGAGGGATCCCTCACAGCCCTTTATTGTACGTCAAAATCTTACAATCTGTTGCCATCGCGATCTCTGGCTCGAGCTGATTCACACTGATCTGTGGGAGTCAAAGCACAACCAAAAGGTCAGTCGCACAAGTGAAAATAATAAGCACAAGCATTTAGATGCTTGGTTTACATTGTTTATGTGTATTTTATAGATGGATCTATATATCATTAACATAAGTTGTGAGATATTCAAACATCTTTAATGCAAGTAGATATATTCTTTAAGGCTTTAACTGTTCTTCATTTGCCACTAATATGCAAAAAGAGCCAATTTGGCAGATTAAAGTCTAATTTGAGGTTTACATCTAATAATATTTGAACCAGAGACAGATGGCTGTTTGGAGTTGGAGGCAGAATCCTTAATCAGACATCTTGCTAGGTGTGAAGTGGGGAAGTGGGACAAATTGAGTAGGCGGGGGGTCCCGGAGAGCAGGGCTTTCTTATTGCTTATTGGGATAGATCTTTTTTTTTTTCCTTTTGCTTTTTCATCTGCTATTCCTGCGAAAGTGCAAAAAGGACTAGTGAGAGAAAAACAGGCTCCTCCGTGGAACGGGAGGCAGCTTTTCACAGGACCGTTGGCGGCACATATGTCTGAAGTTTTTTGCCATATGGCTGTCTGAGCTATTTCCAGTGGTAATTAAATCCTAAACATTTTAAAGCCAGGGCTGGCTGGCTTGTGTCAGCAAGTCACTTGGCAGAGAGAGCACAAAGATGGGGCGAAACGGAGTGAAAAAAAAAAATGTTACCACGGCCGTTTAATGAGCAGAATGACACGTTCTTAGCCAATGAGGCTAAAGTTAGATCTCGGCCCGTTGGCCTGGATGGCATCAGTGGCAGTGAAAAAAGGCTGGGAGCGGATCAGAACAACACAGGTTACGTCTCAGAGGGCTACGCCTCATTAGAGAAACACTAAGGAATTCAGGAGATGTTAGTGGGAAAACATCAGTCACTGAAATTGAGTCATGGCCAACCCGAACTGAGGGGGTTTTCAATAAAGATTAGATTTTTTTGTTAGATAAAGCACAAAATTAAATCACTTTCTGACCCAGTGTCAAATATAAAATGAAATGAATCTTAAAGTTTGATAATTTCCTTTAATGTTTAAGCAGAATTCCCAGAACAGCTTTAAGCATTTGGTTGGGTAACTCATGAACATTTGATACGTCTGTTATGCGGGTGCATTCTACACTGCACTGGTGAACGTGCTTTCATTTGCCCTTTATTGTCTCTGAGCTCTGTCAAACACAGAAACAAACAAATCTTCACCTGTAGGTTCTGGTAACACTTAAAAACCAAACTGTTGTATCTTTCTAGATCCAAGAGGCTGCAAAGGATCCATTTAGTGTTTACCACTGAATAAAATGAGACAGAGCTGGCTCACATGTACAAATATCTGGATATTTTGAATTTGTCACCTTCTCTTTTAAGCCTGATGTGGAAAAGCTCAGACAAAGGCTAAAATTGAAGCTGGGTTTTTATGTGCCAGTGTTGAATAATGCTAGAGTCAGTCCATCTTTCTTCTTTGAGGATCAAAACAAACTGAAAAATGTCAACAAATTGTTGTGATTAATATTCATGGTGGGATGGTCTGGTTTGGCACCTCATTAAGCTTTTATTACAGAATTACTTGGTCTACTTCCGGCTAATATCTGCCCTCCAATATCTTTCACTCACCACAATATGCTGCTGGTCTCTGTCCCTTTTTCTCAGAATGAATGGGGCAAAAACAGCCTTTGTTCACGCCCCTCCTTCATGCTGGAACTTGCTTCATAAAACTTTTTAATGAACTGAACTTATCTCACTGCAAGGTTTTACTTCCAAACTAAAGGCTTTGATTTAACAACATGTACCTTTATTTGTTTTCTTTATCTATGTAGATTAGATTTTTTTTACACGCTGTTACCTCTTAGCCAGGACTCCCTTGAAAAATATATATATTTTTTAATTTTCAAAGAGCACATCCTCTTTAAACAAAGCTGAAACAATAAAATAAGATAAAAAATGCCTTAAATAGATCGCACATAAAAGCATTATTTTAAATAAACTGCAAATAAGTCAGTAGCAGTTTCTTGTGCGTTTGCTCGCCTTATATTTTACCAAAAATCCGCCTGATGAGTGAAAGCAATCCACACGGTGGGCAAAAGGCTCCACTAAACGATCTGCTGGGTTTTGGCTTCACCTCAAAATGGCGGAAAGGTTGTTATGGAGCAAGTCACTGTACTGTATTTACTTTGGAAAGTCCAACAGAGCCACTGGCGTCCCTTGGTCCAACAGATCTTCCAAAGATGCTACCAGTTTAGAGAATCCAGAATCAACGGCTAATGATCAGCTGCTTCTCGCAAAGTTTAAGTTAAGTTGAGGCTAATCTTCCCCAGGGCTGGGGAAGATTAGCTTGTAAAAAGAGGGGAAAATACTTTTAATTTCTAATACTGGTAGTTACTGGCAGTTTTTTACAACATGAAGAAAGAGACTTTGGGGGGGAAAAAAATGGCAACCATGGGAGAGTTCTGAGTCACAAAGACAAAAAAAAAACATCTACAGTACATGATTATCAGTTTTTCAGAAAAATCATCTGTGTGATTAGACAGAGGCCGTTTCTCAATTCACAATAACGCGAGTACGGACTGGTGTCCTTGCCAAGTATGTCCTTGAGAAGAACACAGGAAAGTCTGGTCCTGGTGAGAACGGGAGAACGCAGCATAAATATGTTTCAATTGGAACAGAAACGTACCACTTGCCCGGCTCATCTAGACCTGCATTTCACCTCCTGTTATTAATAGCCTCTAGATAATAATACATTTTTTCATTTATTGGGGGAATAATAATTAACACAGTCAGATAAACACAAATCAAATGAACATTTTGCAAAATAAAACCAAAAAATCGCCACCAGAGCCAGCGGTACTTCACACGGCTATGCCGAGAGAGGACTGCTGCAGAAGGGCTGCGGTGAGACCTGGCTGCCATTACCCTCAGAGGTCCGCAGGTTACCATGGTCCTCTCATCTTTGGAAATTGTTTTTTTAATTACGCATTAAATCAGTAAATGAACCATATATTGATGCTTAAAAGTATAATGTTCTCGCCTTAAATGATCTTAAAACGTACTTTTATTGAACAACAGCAACAGAAAAGAGAAGTTTTAACTTAATACTCTGAGCTCTGTGAGCGCTCCATTGAAACCTGCTGCTGCCGCAGTGCATGCTGGGACAGCTGTCAATCTCAAGACTGGACAAGTCTGCTCTGATGCATACTTGGTAAATAGGGAGGGGTGAAGACAACATCCAGGCACTTTGTCTGTCCCTGGTCTGCTGTTCTTGTGAATTAGAACAGTACTAGGGCTGAGGCTGATGACGTGTCACGAGTACACAAGCACATGAGAACGCACAAGTACACATACTGAGAAACGGCAAAAGTTGCCCCCCCCCCCCCACTGGAAGACAGCACCTCCATGTATACAAAGATAAACTAATAGTGTTTTAGAGAAGCACAACACACCCACAGTTAACTGTAAAATAAAGAATAAAGTTAGTAAGCTTAGGTCTATTGTGTAAAAAACTGATGATCATGTGCTGTGCATGTTTTCTGCAAGGTTTGGTGTAAATTTTGTTGTTTTTTACTTTTAAACATATATCTGAGCCACATCAGCTCTGAACCTATGGGTTGTTGTAACGAGGTACCTGAGACATCTGTGGGAAGAGGCTGATGGCGAGTGGCAGAGCCAGACCAAAGGAAGCCAGACACACCAGGCTGTGGACGGGCAGGACGAGCCTCGGCCGCCTCTGCAAGAGAGGAAGCCTGGGAGGGAAGAAAAAGTTAGGACTCTTTTATTAAAGCAATTTAACTTTGAATAAAATTTAAATCTAAACACCCAGGAAAATTATTAAACAATCGGAAATACTTTCATTCAGTCCCATTTTCAGAAGATACAGCTAAAGAAAAGCCTGCAATGCATTGCCAGAAGTAAGGACATTTTCTACATTGATTTCCTGCCACAGGATAATCTGCTCTTCAGTGTGTGGGACAGTTCCCTCAGCAGGAGCTTTCTCCTCCACCAGCGACGCCCCCCCCATAACAAGGAAAGCAACTGCCTAATGAGGGAGCTCATTAACACATATGGCTGCCATGGTTTAATTAGGCTATGCATGCACGCATGCACACACACAGAAACACACACACACACACACTAGAGTAGATGCACATCTTGCAGAAGTGCATGATAAAGAGAGAAGTTGCCACATATGTTTAGAAGCAAGTGGTAAGGTAAGGTAGGTCTGGGTGTTCTTTAATAAGGATGAAAAGATGTTATGCCATTAAACCCTTATTGACACAAATTCATCTAATTCTGCTTGCATTTAAATGCTCTATGTAACCCGTAAACAGAACAAGCTCAGGCTGAGGTCTCACTGAGTTTAACTTGCTGCCATTATTAAATAATCCTTAGCCAGCAACCAGACAAATCTGGATAAAACGTTGACATTAAATGTGAAGAACCTTTTGCAATAGGAAAATATAATGAAATACTGAAAGTATAATTCATTTATGTAAAGTTTTTTTAGGGTAAGCATAGCAAGAGTCCAAATGGATAAAGAGAATTTGGTATCTGGAACACATAGTTGTCAGCTCAGGATCACATTCCAGTAGATCTAAGGCAAAATGAATGCAAACATTCAGCAGTTTTCATATACATCATTTATTAACCCGGAGAAAGCTCATTGGGATTGTATCCTTTCTGTCCTTTGTCTGAGTAAGCAAACCCATGGACGCTCAGTATTACCTCAGAGCTTCATGCTCCAAGTACAGTTAGCTTCTTTTACAAAACAGTCGTTGAATTTTTATTTCATTTTAAGGATGTTTATAGGACTTTGTGGTTATATCTATTATGACAGTGGCAATATATTCTGAGATTGATTATAGTGCACAAAATTAGTTTTGGACATCTCCCTTTCTATTCAGAGCTTTTTCACATACAAAGAGGACACTACTCCTGACTAGTCATGTGGGGGATTGCACCTGAGTCAATGATTCGATGCAATCAACTGGTTTTCCTTAGATAGAAAACTTTGAATCAATTTGAGTGTATGATCTGATGAACTGTAAAGTGCCTTGAGATGACATGTGTTGTTAAATGGCGCTATCTAAATAAAACTGAATTGAATTGAATAGTCATGTAATCTCTTCTATCCCGCTGCATTTCACCATGACTTATCCAGTGTCCAAATCAAGTCTGATCCATCCTTCTATGGTAGTCCCAGTGTCTTTTTGACTAAACTGACCAACAAGTATCTACCTTGTCTGCTTTTATCACACCATGTAGCCACAAGTCACCCTAATATCAGTCAGCCTTTGATGACCTCATTTGGAGGATAGGAAGTTTACCTTTCTAGCCTTCTCACCCATTCAGAGAGTATACACAAAAGCTTAAACTGCACATTTAAGGAGGCTTTTTACACAAGCTATGAACCCAACATACTCTGGCCAAATAGCCTCTCTCCTCTATTGCATGGGATAAGATTATTGTCAATAAAAACATAAGCTTAGGTGTTTGAATTTGTAAATGTAAGTAAATAAGCAGATTTGTAGTTGTTCTTTTTGCAAAAGTACGTGTACAAATCACAAACTTACCAGAACAAATTATAATCCTGGGTAAAGAGGTTAGCCTGTAATGCGCCTGAAGGTTGTCTGAACCATAGATGGAATGTTATATCTTTGCTGTTGTTTTCAATGTACGCACAGTACAATGTTCAATCAATGGTTCGTTTTTAAAATAAAATAAAAAAATAAGCTGAACTTTATCTATCTCACAATGGAGAAATTAACTCTGCACAAATGCATTAAAATTGCAATCGGGGGTTTAGGGTCTTGCTCAGAGACCCAGAGTGGCAGCCTGTGGGAGTGGGTTTCAAACTCACAACCTCAGGATTCCAGGCCCTAACCAATAGGCCGGCACTCCACCCAGTTAGTCTTCGCTTGGCATTATGCAGACTTTTCGCTGCATTACCACTAAAGGATAAGTGAAACAGCTTTATTAGGTAGTTCCGCTCGGGTAAATTTGCAATTCACACTTGTCTACTTGTCAGTTTTACTCGCAAACTTTTTTCTGTTATTTGTCATCATACATTTGGAATTTCTACACTTCAATACGGTTTTTGTAGTTTTGCACTGTTGCAATGTTGCTACTTCTAACTTGTATTCGTGACTTTTAAATGTGTCTTCTCACAGATTAAACATCTCATGTCACATATGTATGAGTTAAAGGAATAAATAAAAAAATCTTAAATTCTCGTTATTGACTTACATTTACAATTTTGAGCATGTGCGCATATGTTTTTATTGACTGCTATCTTACCCCTTACATATGTGTCATGTTATTCCTTAGCTACACAGAGGGACCTAATGAATGACCTGCAGAAAGCTAAACCAAAGTAACAAAGGCTGCCATCAGTAACACACTATGACCAGAGGGACTCAGACCCTGCAGTGCCGGATGTGTCCCTCTGCTAAAGACTGAACTTGTCCAGGCCTGTCTAAAGTTTGCCAGAGAGCATATGGATGATCCAGAAGAGGACTGGGAGAATATCATGTGGTCGGGAGAAACCAAAGTAGATCATTTTGGTTTGAACGCAAGTCTTGGTGTTTGGAGGAAGAATAATGTTAATGCAGGAACACCATACCTACTGTGAAGCATGGGGGTGGCAACATAAGGCTTTGGGGCTTTTTTTCTTCAGAAGGGATGGGATCACTTATCTGTGTAGAAATAATTGAAGTCGTAGAGAAACGGTCGTTCCAACCGTTGCATTTCCGAATTCTCCCGAGTGGTGCCTAACTTTACATGAGCAAATAAAGTGAATGGGATTGGTTGTGTATCAAGAGGTCGGAATTGTTGTGGCGGAAGGTTCGCAAGCAAGTTTGATTTTGGCCGGTTTATCAGAAGCATCTTGCTAACTAGTTAGCAACTTAGTGCTAGTACTGTAGGTTCCCAATGGGAAATTACATTGGGACCAAGAAGCACTAAATTGGTGGCTTAGAAACAACACTGTCTAGGAACGCTATGGAAAGCGGAAGAGGAGAGTTTTGAATCGGAGGTCGTGGATGAGTCTCTTCCGTCATACACTTTTTATATAATGGAGGAAAGTGGGGACAAAGATGTTGTGGAAAGGGAAGCCAGGGTGGCAGAAGCTTAGTTTGGTGTAAAAGGCTTACAGCCGTTCGTGTTTGAGCCCTTGCCTTGCAACGCTTGCCAGTTCTTTTAGCTCTACGCCTGCTGAAGACACAGACGTCCATCCCTGTGAACACTGGGACATAACTCACAGTAAAGTAAATGACTCTTATTTCTTATTTCAACCTTTACATATGTTAGCTGTGACATATGAATCAAGATGCTGACCGAAATAATTTGATTGACAGATGACCCTTTATAAATGATTGGCCGAATTTAGGTGTACAAGCTGACGTATAACTAACTGGCCGGCATAAGGTAATGAAAAAAAACCCCAACAGATTTTAAGACAGGATTTTTTTTTTTTTTTAAGAAATTTTGGGACAATGTAGTCTGATAAAGGGTACATTTATATACATGTTTAAGCCAGAATGATTTGACCTTTATATATGATTTCCCTACGACTTTAACAGGGCCATGAATGGTGAGATTTTGAATGAGAGAGCATTCAAAGTCACCATTCAAAAATGAATGGTGATCTCAAAACCTCATTCCATCAGTGACAACATTGAAGATGAAATGTTGCTGGCTCTCAGCTCAGGTAAGCTGTGTTTTTTGGATCATTGTCATGCTGGGATCATTGTAAAGAGGGAGTGGTTCTATAAAAAGTGTGTGAAGGTCCTTGAGTGGCCAAGCCAGTCTACAGACCTAAATACCATAGAAACATTTGTGGTAGGAGTGAAGGTCAGTGTTGAACAGCAACAGCCCCCAAATATCATAGCTCTAGAGGATGGAAGAATGGTGAAGACCTGGAAACAATTGTCTGACCTCTGTCAATGACAACCAAAATTATTGAGCTGAACCTTATAAATGACCAAATACTTTAAGGCAAATTGGAGGATGTTCTTTTTCAAGGTGGATCATCAAAATAAGTTGTCCACCGAATTGACAATCACTCTGATGATATGTTTACGTAACGGTGGTGAGTCTGACAATGTGGAAAAATTGAACATCTTCACTTGGAAAGGAAGGTTGTATGAGTGATGCAAACAGCAACTTTTAAACTGAGCATGCACAAGGAGAAGGCATACTCTTGCATGCGTCCAATAGGCGTTCCCTCTCGGGAGCTGGTAAAGTGGAGCCAATATTTAAAGTGGAGAGGGTGGGTCTTTTCAAAAAATTTGCTTTTTCCTTTAATTTTGTCAAGAATTCATAAATAATTTCAAAAACTTAGTGTGATTCCTTCTATTTTTTTTCTCTCATGTTGTTTCTTAGTTTAAATTGTAGCCTTGAAACCTCTCTAATCTCACTAAATAATAGGACATCTACAATCAGTGGCTGACTACTTTCTTTTCCTACTGTATAATTGCCAGTGTATGTAGGTTATATTGTTAAAAGGGCCTTGATTTTTTTTCTAGTATTCATGGTAGAGACCCATATTTTCCATAATGTTTATTAAACACTTGAAAGGTGTTACATTAGTACTCTAAGGTAATTCCTTCATGTTGTCAGGTCCTGAAATACATACTTAAACAGTTATTCTTCTTTAAAACATATTTTTACATTACAACATAAAAAGCTTGTTCCTAAATTTCATAACCTCAGTACTTTGCCTACATTTTCAGTTGGTCTTCTAAAAAAAAAAAGAAATTCCCTTAATATACTCATAGCAATGTATGAGAACAGATCTGCTGTCACTCCTCTAAATATGTACTCAACAGAGTAATCCATCACTGAGGGGCCGCCTGGGGGACCCGTCTCTGTCCCCTTGTTCTCGCTTCATTGAGAGCCAGTGAAGGCAAGCTGACATAAAGGAGGTTGAGAACTACACACAAACCTGGTCTATCACTTTTAAGCAGACCCCTACATGCACACTCCTTCTGTCTTTCTCTACCTCCCCGTTCAATTATTCAGGTTACAGGAATCCCAAACACACCTGGAGAACAGGTTGTGCTTTCTGAGCCCGCCCACTCAGAGTGGTTGGGACAAGTGCTGTCAAAGATTCCCAAAGATGTCTAAATTCCTCCATTAGGCTGAAAGAATCCATCGATCGAAGGACTGCTAAATAAACACGTCAAATCTAAAGGAAAGCATCTAAAATCCTCCAACTCTGAATATGATAACAGAGGATTCAATTAATGGAAGAGACTTACAGAACAGAGGTTAAGATTTACCTTTCATAGGCCTTTCATAGGTATACTAAACGTTTCTTCTTTTCTATAAGGTAGGTGGAAATAACATCGATTTGTACCCAACAAGAATATGCACAGCCGGTGAAAGGTTTCTTTTGGCCAATTTTAATTTTTCTTTGACGAAAATAACCCTAAAAGGAACAAGTGAATGTAAAAACAAATCTAAAAATGAGTTGGGTTTAAATAACAATATCTAAGTAGAAAAAAACGTATCTTCTGGAGCGTTCCGCTTAAGGAAAGAGAGCTTGTGTCCAAAATGTCAGGGTTGGCAGAGATGTTATTCATCCTTTCCTCGCCGTGTATAGATCCTTAATGGAGAGAAGGTCAAGTCAGATGGTCCTCTAACTGTTTGTTACTGTTTGGACCTGTCCTGATTTGTGGATGCGTTAAACCAATCAGTTATGAATGGGTATAAAATAGACTGAATGAAAGCAGGTCAAAGGATGATAAGCAGTAGAATGGGGGAAGCTGTAGGCGTACTTCTTGAGTTACTACAAGATGTACAACCTCACCTGGACCTTCAACTGACCAGTTACTATGAATGAGGGAGATATTGGTTCTGAGAGAGGCTGGTTCCCAGAACCAGAGGTACTCTACGTTGGACACTGTGCTGCTTAAAACAGTAAAGAAAAGTAATGTTGTGGGAGTTCTCAAAAAAAAAACAATCGTCATCACCTCAGTCTTGAATGGGTTAAGCTCCAGGTGGTTTTGACCACATCTATAGACCAGCCAATTAATCCTGACTATTCAAGGAAAGGGGTGAAGGTTTACCTTCTAACAGGATGACAACTCTAAGCAATCAATCAGTTCTGTATTTTGTTCTCAATTCATCAAGTTTAATTGTGATTATAAGGGAGATCCAGTTTTATAAATACAGGGTTAAAATATAATTTTATTTTGTTTTTATTTCAATTCTTCACCAACTTCCAGGCAACATATTAATGATGTTTTTAATTTGAAATGGAAAGCATTAAATGCCAAATAATTAAGTGTTCAACTTAAAAGATTAAGTAAGATTAAGTATTTTTTATTTTATAATTAGTTATTGTATGTTCAACTGTTGGACAATGATTGAGCACTGATTGAGCCAAAATGTGGTTCTACAGATTATTGACACAGAAGCTAAATACAAAACTGTTAGATTTTAATTGTAAACCACATTTAAAACCATTAATCACTTTACTTCCAGTTTAAAGTTCACTATTTTCTGTTGGTCATTTACAGAAAAAGTAAATATATATAAAAATCAAATGTTAGTGGCTGGGAAATGACAAAATGTAAGCAACATTAAAGGGTATGAAAACGCTGGATACCATAAGGGTTGGTAAAACACGCAGTTATAATTCATTTCAAAACTATATCGGCCAAACTGAAACAGTTAAACACAGCTGAAATAAAGACATTTTATATTTTATGTAATTTTTTTAATTTGAAGTCACCGTAGTCGAAATCTAAAACCAGATAGACTTCTACATTTCCTCAAAAGGTTTGGAGACAGCAATAGAATTAACAATGGAGGCAATATTAGTGAAAGAAATGTTCTTACTTTTCCAGTACAGCCATAATCATGGGAGGAAGCACCATGATTGGCATGGGCATGACCACTCTGGTCAGGGCAGTCTCCATAAGTGCCTGTAACAAAAATCAGAACTCTTTAAATGTACTGTATTTTACAAAAGTATAGATAATAATAATAACAATGATAATATTATCATATTAGCTTTGTTTTTATCTCACAAGCCAAATTGCAAAAAACCAAACCCTTACAGTTTTTTATATTGACAAGTAGAAGTTATTACACTTTTAGTTTGACCAGACAGTCATTTAAAGTTTTATTAGGGGGTTGAAAATACTAATTGAAATAAAATATTCTGTTTCTATGACCTGGTAAAGTAATAATAATAGCATTAACAGTTGTTTTTATACATCTCTATTCAAATACACAGATAGGGGCTTTGCGACTTACATGCTTTGCTGCAACTTTTGACGTCCCCACCACCTGCCCGCTGTCGTCAAGCACCTCGATACCATCAGACAGCTCAGTGTGTCTCATCAGCACCACATTGCAGATATTTGCACTTGCTGTAAAGAAAGAAAATAATGAAAAGGTTCAAAAAATCTCATTGCTGACCAACTCTTATATGAGGTCATGCAATACTGTGTGGGGACTGAAAAAGAATAACTGAATGGGAGATACACTGCTTATCAAAGTTTTAAGTTCTGGTACAAAAGTGAAATAATTTGTTTTTACTCCATTGGGTCTTAAAGTTCTAGGTAGATCGCTACAATGCTAACAGAAGGGATTCAGGTGCTCATGGTGAAGGTTATGCTAAATAAGGTGCAACTTCAACTATATATAGCTCTGAATAACATTGTGTAATCTTTCTAGGTTTTGCTTTTGATCTTTGTATATAAAAGAATGTTCCCTCTTTTGTTTTACTTGCTTCCTTCTTGTTTCATGCAAATATGGAATCGGACTGTTAGGAGTTATTCTGAATTTGTATTTTCTCCTTTATCACCTCTATGTCTTTACTTTAATTCCCATCCCTTTTTCTTTTCTCACCTCTTTTTCCATCTCTGTGTCAATTGAATTTTTCCCCCACAAAGCATCTTGTGATTAAGTTTCATTCACAATTACCAAGTGGAGTCTTATAGCAACAGCCATACTGATCCACTTGTAAAAACAAATATGTTGTATGTCATCCAGCAACAAAACATATAAAAAAAGAGAAGGCATTTCTAAATATGCATGTCTCTAAGGGAACAACAGCACATCACTGAGTATTCCCTAGAAATCACATTTTCCTCACACTAACAAAGAGCCCTATAGACATCAAAGGGTGCTTTAGTTTAATGCGTCATGTTATCGTCAAATATTATCCACAATAGACAGCCATGAACCTGACTGGAAATCTGTACAAAGAAAAAACGTTAAAACAGCTTTGGAGCTTCTGTCTTATTTATTTCAGTTCGCCAAAATGAATACAAATGTATGTCAGTGTAGATAGACCTTTCTTCTTGACTCTAATAGGAAAGAGAAAAACTCATTTTAGAGAGTTTAGTGGTTGTGCCCCGAGCCTTTTTAATTTAAGACAACAGCATTCAGAGTTATCTTTCCTGGGCCCCGAAGGGACGGCAGGTTGCCTTATGAGGTGGATTTAATTAACTGAGGCCATTTAATACATGCTAATTTAGAAAAGGACAGATATAATGATTTTGGCAAGAAATAAAGAAAAAATACAGCTAAAAGATCAAATTCTCAAAAACCTGTGTGTAATTACCTTAACAAAGCCAATAAAGTAATTGGGAAATTGTATTGATAATTACTCAATCTGTGCAGCTTAATTTTGACATTTCTTCTTGTAATTATTTAAAATAATTACATTTATGTGCACTCTAATTGTATCTGATAACTACTGGGAGGCTTGTGGATTAGAATTCCTATTTTAATGAAGTTCTAAACATCACACATAATGAAAAACATTTCAAAAGTAAAGACATTCTTTGCCAAATGTTTGAACTATTGTGGATTTAGCTCCAGGTAAAGTTTTCTTTTATAATTTATTTGAATGACAGGCAATTCCTTGATTAGCTTATTACAAAATAAATCTTGCCTTAAGTAACTAAACACAATCAAATGGGTGAAAATTCAAACGCACTTTGCTTTCTCTCGCTTCAATTAGCCGTTTTAATTACCTTTTATATGGGCCTGCAAACACAACAACTGCAACAACAATGCCCAAACTGAAATCAGGTAAATGAGGCCTTGACATAGACGCCACTTTAGGGGTAATTATCCAATTTGTTTGCAGCAGTAGAGTTCCAGCGAGCAACCAATTACCAAGCAAAGGCTGCACTGCAGAAACCTGTTGATTTAATTAGAAGAGCCGCCACGGCATGGAGGGGGTGGGCGGCAGGCAAACAATTTAATTACGCGCCAGCAGCCCGGGGCATTGTGGGACACGGGTCTATACCCCTGGGTGCGATTGTGATGCAGGGAGGTGGCACGAAAAATCAGCTTTGTGGCTCTGCTCTCATCTGACAAAGCAAGCTCTCAGCACGTCTCTAACCCTGCAGAGAGGAAAACGGACAAATAAAAAAAGGAAAGAAAACAAAAAATAAAGAGAATCGCTCCCTTCTTGGATTTCACACAGAGAGATGGTTTGATCTCAGAAAAGAACCAGGTTTTCAGCACTCAATGGGCTCCATAGATGAATCAGAGCCTACATCCTGAAGCTCTGATGTTCTTTGAGAATAATTGTGATGTTATTGTCATTAAAATAATAAAAAACTAAATATAGACTCATACCTCAAGTCAACTTAAAGAATAAAGGTAAAAGAAACGAACATCATATTTTTTAGCTTACCAACGGCAGGGAAGGGGACGAACCTCTGCACCAAAAGCTTGGTGGTCGGACTTAATCGATTCGCTTTCTGGATTAAAACATTCAGCCCAACCTGAGGGATTAAAGCAGGTGTTTTACTATTTGCAATGCTGCTTAACATGTAGAATATTTAGGATATTTTAAACAAGGCTTCCCTTGATAGTTAAACTCTGCTGAAATTTAAAACCCCAAAGTGTTATAATCAAAGGAGTACGTGTTCAGATAACAAACCGACGTGAAAAAACCTCAGCCTCCAGCTTTCCCCAGCCCAGCGTGAGGTTGCCACTAGAATGGATGTGTAATTGGAGGGCTCCTGCCCCCCTCCCGGCATGTCGTTCCTCCCTTCAGAATCCCTGGGATTTTTTTTTCTTCTGTGCTCGCCATCGTTGTCAGGCCTAAGGCCATCAGCCGGAATACGCCCAGCAGGACCAGTAATTGGCTCAGTTTGAGGTCTTTGTCCAAGATTGAGGCCGTCTCAGCCAGACGTACAAGAGGACATTATACTCTTTTGACGACTGAGGTGATGACATGGAGGTAAGAAAAAATGAAAATATGTTCGGAAGGCTGTGAAGGAAAGCTTTATGCAAAAATTAAACTCCTTTAAAATGGCAGCTTTTATATGAAAAGGAAATAAACACCTGCTTAATGTAAAAAAAAAATAAAAATAGAGGACTGAATTTTAGAATTTAATTTTGTAGGGATGTTGTTGCTTCTACAGGATAACAAAACTAAGTAGAACCATCGCATCGGCATGTGGATGTGTTGCTGACTGCAGCTCTTAACCACAGGGATCCTTTAAAGCATGTGTCATAATGATGGGGAGAAAAATCATGCTAATGAGTAAATGTTAGGGAGGAGGGAGCTTCAGCTACAAGGAAAATAAACTCCTGTAAATTCTGTAACCTTCCTCGACAGCTGGATTCTGGCAGTACCTGTGTGTTTGCAGACACAGAAGAATCCATCTTGTCTCACTCATGCCTTAACTGTTCAAGAACCAACCGCGAAATGATTGGCCAATCTTATTGCAGCATTAAGCTTTAAGGCGGGACATACAGCTGCGAAGAAAGCAAGAGCTTCCAAGTCCACAGCCAAACCAAAACAAACGTAGGAGGATGAAGGTGTAGCTGCTGCTCTCTGTTTTATCAGAAACAAGGATTTCATATTTGTTAGAGGAACAGAAAGAAGCTTAATAGATTTCTAGGCATGTTGGTAGGCATGTTGGTAGGCGGTCACTATGCGTTACCTTACCCAATCTACTCAGGAAGTCTTGCTGAATCAGAATGTATTGCCAAGTGGGTTTGCACTTACAAGGAATTTGACTCGGTGTTGATGGTGCAGACAAATTAGATATATAAAATGACAATGTAGTCCAACCTTTCCCCAAACGGATAAGATGGGACTGTCACTACTATTGCACCAGTACTCCATCTGTACTAGTGGCATGATCCGTACCAGCAGCTCATTTGCTCATGAACAACTAGAAATACATCAAGGGGTCACCATCTATTGCTTTTTAAGAGAATAGATTGAATCACTACTTATAAAAAAAACACCTTTAAAAAACCCCTCAAACATTTGTTTTCAGTTTCAAATAATTATTTTTATTTAAAATTTAGTTTTCTGTTTTATCTTTTTTAGTTTTGGTTTCAAATCGTTTTTCTCTTTCAGTTCAAAATGTTTTAGATTTTTTTTCCAGTTTCAAAAACAATTTAATTTCTACAAACATAATGGACCCAATTAAGCTCCATGGAAACGGAGCTAGATCTATTCCTGAGTCCTGGATTCTATCTTTTGAAAGAAGAAGGAATTTTTTTGTAAGCTTGTTAACCTTTTCTCTTCCAAATCTTCGTAAGTTTTGACTCATTGTTTGACTCATTGTACCCTCTTACACACAGAGTGATGACCAATTATTACAGGCAGGAAGTGAGAATGAATTTTAATAATATTTTATCCAAAATATTTCCAGGGTATTTGGACATAGTATAAATAAATTAAACATTTTTAGTTACACTAAATTTATGATGACCACCAGTGATGTAGTTAGGACATGATTTTCCTTTTTTTAATTATCCACATGTACAAAAATTTAAAGTTGGGATTCACATTTTCAAGGGGATGTGATGTTACCGTAATGCTTCTACATCAAGGGTCCAAAAAAAAGCTTATGGGCCTTTATACCTATGTAAAGTTATTGATCAGCATCAACTCAGCATTTCTGGAAGAGGCAGATGTACAACAGGAACTTACAGCGATGGACACAGCACTGGTCACCGCCCCCGCATAGCCTTGGAAGAATTTGTAAAATGGTGCAGGCTAAAGAGAGCAAAAGACAAGTAGGAAAATCAACAATACAAAAAGAATCACTTTGAGTATATCCACTGATTTACCTTTGACGCATTGCGGTTGCTGTAGTTGACACAGGCATTGTGACTCTGGTTTAACCACTGGAAAAAGTACAACATGAATAGAAATGAGCGAGAGTCCTAACGGTAGATGTAAAGTTAATTTGTAAGGGTTTGGTATGCTTCCTTATTTCTTTTTTTTTTTTTTTTTTTATGACCTAATTAGAGTAAAATGGACGGTCTTTAAACAGAAAAGAGGATAAGATAGAAACACTGGGTTAAACTGATGCTTCAAAAGATGAAAACATTTTAGGTCTCAGTTTAAGGAGCACCTGCCAGAAGATGGTGGAGGCCATCGTTTGATTAGGGAGAAGGAGGCCAACAACCTGCAAACAAAACAATAAAATACAACTTCAGTTTAGATTAAACTAATTGAGACGACTAAGAAACGTAAAGGCCAAATCTTACCACAGGAGTGCCAAATGGGATAAAACCTATAAAAGACAGTCAGTATTATTGCCCTGACAGATAATCCATTGAAAACTTTTTAAAATCCCTTTTTCATCTTATGTAGCAATTTAACAAGAGTACAATGGGGAAATCTTTCAATTTTTTTTTACTATAGTAAAGGCAAAATAAAAATATCTTAAAAAAAACAAAACAAAAAAAACACAATGTCACAATGCGTGCATGTGTCACGCAGCAACGGCTCTGCATAAACATTCAGAACAAGAGAACAGTTACAACAAAGAAAGAAAGCAATGTTCAAAATCATTTCCTTGGGTGAAGTACCCCAGATTTTTACTTTGGTAACAGTGGCACGGCTTCAATCAATTTATTTAATCTCAAGTAAAAGTAGAAAATAGAAATCCAGAAATTACTCAAGTAAGATAAAAAAGGTTGCTTAAATCCTGAGTTTACATAACATCTGATTTAATGTTTATTACGTAATCAAACAGAGAGTTATTAGCTAATTCTGGTATTTCAAAACTTAAAATAGAGTTTGAGTAAAAGAAATGCCTTTCTGCATCAATCGTTTTAACATAAACTTAGAAATCTTTACCGCAAATAATGTCAGGAAAGGATATTTCACCTGATCTCAAGTAGATCAAGTTACACCTGATGGAGCTACTCCTACTTGAGATAACCTGATCTCAAGTAGATCAGTAAAAGTAGAGATACACCCACAGGAATATGAATTTAGTCGTGGTAAAAAATACAATAAAGTAACTTTTTTTTCTTGTTAAGTAAATGTAACTTGCTACTACCCACCTATGAATGTAACTGCATGTAAACATCATAATTATGCTTTCTTATTTTTCTGTTCAGCATCATGATACAGACTAATCGTGCAGCGGGTCTTGGCAGCAGTCTAGATGGTGATGTGGTTTCTAACGCTGCTGCCTTATAACATCTCAGGCTTTTCTCTATTGAATTTTTTTTTTATAGAAGTTACCTGTTTTTTCTATGTATTTCATACATGTTTAAATAAGACACCCTTTACTAGTACAATCTGAGTAAATGTTCTCAACCAAACTGACTACAATTTTTTACCTTTTTTTACCTTTTGCTTTTTTTAATTCTATAGATTTTTACAGTGCAAATCTGTTGATGCTATTGTCTGATCTATTCTCTTCTAACTTAAAGAGGTGGATAATAATTCAATATCAATATATTTTACAATATAACTAGTATAAATATATTCTAATAAAGTCTATAATTACAGAATCTATTACTAAATGAAATTACATATTTTATTTAGTTTTGTGTTTGTTTTTTCAAAGCAAATATTTATCAAATGTTTTATTGACTGAATGTTTATTAAAACTGTAGAAACCAACCGTCCAAACTTTGAAGAGGCTTTTATTTAGTTTATAGCAATATTAAAATCATATCGCATCGACCAAAACTAATAAATATATTGTGATATAACTATTAAGTATCATTCAGCCCTTCTTACACAGTACTTTAAATATGAACTTAGATTTTGAGCTGTGTTTGCCTATCATCCCTACTAATTAGTAACAGTCATAGAGCTGATTTCAAAGGTGGGACCAACAGAATCAGCAGAAAAAGTTTAGAACCAAACAGAAAACTATAGACTTCATGCAAAAACATCTTGAGCTTGAAAGAAAGGCTTTTACAACAGCAAGTTGTTGAAATTTTAACAACATAAACAGCTCTTTCACAATAAACAGTAATTAATAGCATTATTAAAAAGTCGCTCTGTTTCAGCTGCAATCTTGACTGTTATAGTTACAAAAAGCCCAGTTGCATTACGGGTCCGCCTCCCTCTATGATTGGTTTAGTTTGTTTTAGGCTGAAGAGATTATAGATATAGATTCTTACCAGACTGCCTAAACATTGTAACTCAGTCTGCCTGGACAGGTTAAAACATACAGACAGAAATATTTAGATCAAAACGTATTTATGCTTTTAAAATAGCCTAGTTAAAGTCTAACATTTGGAATTTGTCTCAAGATGTGAAAACGTATGTTTATTAGAGTCTTTCAATCTGACTCTTTTTGATATGTTTCACTAAGAACAGTTAAACATCCCGTCCTTTGCCTTGTGGCTTTTACGTTTGCAGTCTGGCATTTCTATGGTTACGAAATGTTAATCATTTATCCAGTTTATTTCTCTTTACAGTAATGCAATACTTAGTGTTGGTATCTTCACATATAACCCCAGCAGATCAGATGCTGTTAACATTCAAGGCGTGGCCGGAACGTCTTCACAAAAAACTTCAGGTTCATGTGGTTTAGGTTTGTTTTTTTTGAGACACGCAGTAAGTTGGTCTGAACTGATTAACGGCTGCCACCTTATCTTCTTCAACCACCCTGCTCTCCATCGCTCACTCACACGCTCTGTCTGAATTATCAGAGTTTCTTAAAAAAAAAGAAGGATGAATTAATTATGTTTTAAAACCAAAATACTGCCTTCTCTACACTGCCACCACAAGAGAGGTTTTAATCAGCCCCCAGCTGAGTGTGACCTTTTCCAGGCCTGAGACAACCTGAGGAGCACCGCTGAGCCCTGACAGGTCCCAGGGAGCACGACGCCTCCATGTTGGACCACATAACAAGCCCCTAGATCCCACATCCCCCAGGACTTCCACACCGGAGCGTTCTACCTGACATCCGAAATGGCATGAGGATCTTCTCCCCTGTGTCTGGGTGGATGATGGCCTGTAATGAAAGCGAAATCAGGCGATAATGAGGATAAAATGATTCAGGTCTCTGAAGATGACAAGAACTAGTACACAGAAGGGGCAATAAAACCGCCTTTATTAAGGTGGAACTACTGCTTCCTAGAAGCTACAAAGAGCCTGGAGTGACCACCATCCTGTTTGTGCTTTTTATTTTGTTTTTTTGTTTCTTTTTCCTAAACCACCGTGTACCTGATATGGTGTAGCATTTAGAACCGCTTCTGAACAGTTATCTCCAGACAATTTTACTACTTTGTGTTTTTCTGAAAAGCTACTCCCATCTTAACAGACCACAACTTTAAAAAGAGAAAAAATATCCAGAGCTTTTATTTTTTATTCTTCAACAGTAAATTAATTCTGCCAAAACCAGAATGGATCCAAATATCAATCAAAAGTTTCCATTAGATAAGAATGGATCAAAGTGTTTTTGACAGATTTCAGTTAGTTTATCGATTTGAAACTTAGCAGCTCCAGGTTTTTATGAATAAGAAACGTGTGTGTAAAAAAAGCTGTCATTATTTGAACAACCTAATATCAGACATGATACGTTCACAAACCAAAAAAAAAATAAATAAATCACGTTTTTGGGGGGCTTTTGGGATGTGGAGGAAGAGACCATAACCCATATACGGGCTGTCACAGGTTCAGATCCCGGCCCTGCTGACCTTTGCTGAAAGTCTCTTCCTTTCTTGTAACCCCCTTTCCTTTCTGAATAATAAATAACAAAAAATGCCACTATAGATTAAAAAGTAATCTAAAAAATAGCCCTTGTTTGATTGGATTTGTTTTTTTTTATATAGATACAGGTTAAATAATGCAAATACTGTTTATATTACTGATGACATAAATGCATGCTATTAAGTAACATGTAGATATGCATATTCTAAGATAGAAATATAATCATCTGATTCTTTACTACTGTCTGCAATGTCAACCAGTGTAGTAGCAGCAGCCACTCAACAAAATAAAAAAAATCCAAAAAAGGCTGAATTGTCAGATTTTTTTCTTCCAATGTGGCCTTGACAAATTCAAAGATTATTAATAAACATGTTAATTAAAAGGTGCTTAGTGATATAAATCATACTTTTTTGTGCGACTGGTGTCTTGAAGAAGCCTGTTCTAAATTTGGACCTTTTGATTTGTTTTGTTTTTTAATCATCAATTTTATAGTTATCTCAATAGGCCCACAAGATATGATAGGATTTCAAATTCATATCACCCAGCCCTAGCATCCAGTCACATAATAATGCGTAAAAAAAAAAAAAAAAAAAAAAAACTTAAACTCCTACCTGCTTTATTTTCTGGGCTTGCCACAGCTGATGAAATGAGAGAGAAAAATTAAAACAGCAGCAACAAACCTTCAAAAGCAGTTTTAGGTTACTGAATGGTACAAAGGGATAATCCAAATAACAAATAATGATTACAAAAACTTATTGATGAATAAACAGAAACACAGTATGTGTGTCATTACCTCTGCATCGGTGACTCCTGGAGGAAGAGTTCCTTGTTTGAAGCCATCCAGCAGCTTAATGCACTCCTGCAGCCGTTTCTGATGTGATCAAAGATTTGAAAGAAGACTTACAGTTAATTTAGGATGATGTATGAGTTGGAGTTAGATCAAGTCTTGCTAAAATCTCCACGTTATTCATCAGTCGACAAAAACATCATATCGAACAGACAATGATCATCTATCTGTCATATGACGACCATCTGCTGCCAAGCAAGACAGCAAAAACCTCTTAGTTTGTACCAGTGGTCTCAGTATTTATCGACATACAGTATCTTACAAAAAAACCTTAAACACCTCTAATTTATCAACACTTTCAGGGCTTTTAAACGTAAAGGTCTGGATTTTGCACCTAAACCCTCCCCCTGTGAATGGGGACATTTAACGTTGCTTTCCTAGAGGAAGGAAAATATCTATCCCAGTCCTAAACATTTATTTTGTTGTTGTATTTATGAGCCGTTCTACCTATGATAACTTTATTTAGGTCTTTCTTTTCCTTCATGCTCTGACAGAGCTCCCTAATCCTACTTAGTAGAAG